AGCAAACAACACTCAAAAAAGAGCAGAAGTGGCAATATTAATCTCTGACAAACTAGACTTTAAAGTAAAATCCACACAGAGGATAAGGAATGACACTATATAATGACTAAAGGGTCAATACACCAGAAGGACGTAACCATAATAAATATTCATGCACCCAACAACAGGGCTCCAAAACACATAAAACAAACTCTAACAGCATTGAAAAGAGAGGCAGATAGCTCCACAATAATAGTAGGAGATTTCAACACAACACTTTGGGTGAAGGGCAGAACTTCCAGAAAGAAGCTCAATAAAGATACATAAAATCTAATTGCCACAATCAACCAACTTGATCTCACAGACATACGAGAACATATACAGAACACTCCACCGAACAGCAGCCAAGTACACTTTCTTTTCCATCTCACATGGAACATTCTCCAGAACAGACCACATATTAGGCCAGAAAGCAAGCCTTAACAGAATCCAAAGTATCAAAATATTACAAAACATCTTTTCTGACCTTAAAGCCATAAAAGTGGAAATCAGTAACAGAAAAAGCAAGCAAAAAAAAAAATCAAACACATGGTAACTGAACAACACCTTGCTCAAAAACTACTGTTACGGAAGAAAAATGAAGAATGGAATAAAGAAATTCACAGAATCAAATGAGAATGTAAACACATCCTACCAGAACCTTTGGGACACAGCAAAAGCAGTGCTCAGAGGTCAATCTATAGAAATAAACCCACACATCCAAAAAGAAGAAAGGACGAAAATCCAAACATTAACCTTACAACTCGAACAAACAGAGAGCAGCAAAAGAAGCCCTTGGACACTAGAAGAAAGCAAATAATAAAAATTAGAGCAGAATTAAATGAAATAGAAAACAGAAAAGCAATGGAAAGAGTTAACAAGACCAAAAGCTGGTTCTTTGAAAAGATCAACAAAATTGATAAACCACTGGCCAAACTGACAAATGAAAAACAGGACAGGAAGCAAATAACCAGAACAAGAAAAGAGATGTGCAATATCACAACAAACCCAACTGAAATGAAAAGAATCATATAACAGAATACTATGAAAAACTGTACTCCCACAAATTTGAAAACCTAGAGGAAATGGGACAAATTTCTAAAAACCCACTACCTACCTAAACTAACACAAACAGAGGTAGGACAACTAAATAAACCTATGGATTCTTTGGCATTTTCTGTGTATAAGATCATATCATCTGCAAATAGAGATACTTTTACTTCTTCTTACCAATTTGGATGCCCTTTATTTCTTTTTCTAGCCTTATTGCTCTGGCTAGGACCTCCAGCACAATGTTGAATAAGAATGGAGATAAAGGGCATCCTTGTCTGGTTCCCGTTCTCAAGGCAAATGCTTTCAGACTCTCTCCATTTAGGATGATGTTGGCTGTTGGCTTTGTATGAATGCCCTTTATTATGTTGAGGAATTTGCCTTCTATTCCTATTTTGCTGAGAGTTTTTATCATGAATGGGTGTTGAACTTTGTCAGATGCCTTTTCTGCATCAATTGATAAGATTGTGTGGTTC